TTAAAAATGAACTCGGTATACACTGCTCTGTCTGAAATTCAATGTCAACCAAAATACGGTTTCAGCCTACTTGATCTTCCACTGCTTTATATACACCCTACCCTATACACAGTCTAACTGTATTATTCATTGTTCCCAAATAGAGCCTGTCCTTCTCTGCCTCTATGCATGTTGACCACTACACTTGGAAGAAAATCCCCAATCTCTTAATATGTACTTTGACATATTTTATAAATCCCACTCATCCTTCACGCCCTTAAAAAAAAAAAGCCCAGTCTTGTACTGATTTTCATAATTTTCACTACTAATCTGCTGGCATTTCTTTCCTATTTTAATTAAAACTTTTTAAGTGTGAAAGAATGTATACATAGATCTTAAAAGTCATACTCCAATGTGATGAAGTTATTGATGTTTATCTTCTCCCTATTTTCCAAATTTTCAACAACCCCTGTATTATCTTTATAATTAGAAAGAAAAAATGCTGGAGCAAATGTTAGCAGGGAACATCAGCAGATTTTTATGGGACATGGACTTTAAGTCTTAGCTAATGGACTTGAAGGATTCTTGGTCCACTGATAAGACCATTCCCACTGTGAGGACAGATGGACAAATGCATCAGGATAAACATAACGTTCACCTAACTAATGCTCTTTATTGTAGATTCTTGCTCCTTGAGCAATCTCCTGGTTGTTATTTGCCTAGAGAGAGAAAATATGATGGACACAAACAGGAACATTCTGTCTCTATGCTATTTCTCATTGAAGTTTATTCATTTAGCAACATAATGGTTTTTTTTTTATTTTCATTTTTTTTACTTTTTGAGATGGAGTTTCGCTCTTTTGCCCAGGCTGGAGTGCAGTGGCGCAATCTCCACTCACTGCAACCTCCGCCTTCAGGTTTCAAGCAATTCTCCTGCCTCAGACTCCCAAGTAGCTGGGATTACAGGCAACTGCAACTGGCTAATTTTTGTATTTTTAGTAGAGACAGGGTTTCACCATGTTGGCCAGGTTGGTCCACAACATGTTTTAAAAATTATACCTCATACATTACATTTGTTGGACTCTGCTTTACACTCAGTTGATCTGTATATTTGAATTCTCATCTTCTATTCAGCTGCTTCTTAAGGCAAGGCTATATTATTATACTGTCTCTCCCCTGCAGGGCCCAGCCCAACGACTCAAACACAAAACATGTTCAGTAAGTACCTGATAAACAGGCATTTATGTAAGGCATCATATAAAGGACCACAGTACTTTGAAGCTGGACAGGGCCTGTATAATCACATATTAAAAAGTATTCTTATTGTACACACAGGAAAAAAACTGTTAATACAAGAAGAGAACAACTGTCTTAAAGTTAGCAGGCCTGTAGCAGAAGTAAATCTAAGGCCCAAGCCAGTCATCAAAAATTTTAAAATGGCATAGCGTAACATTTTTAAAAAGACAAAAATCACCAAAATACAATGGGTAGCAAAATATATAAATGACATATGTGAAAATTGATCAAATGGTTAAAAAAGGAAGAGATACACATAGTTAAGCCTTCAGAGGGATTTCTGGTTTCAGCTTCCAGCTTCAATCAAGCAGAGGTCAAAAACAATAAAAAGCTCAACTGAAATCAGTGACTTTTCTTGGACCCATTAGAGAACTGAGGTCACAGAGTGAACTATCACCCCAAAATCCAAAAAGACAGACAAATAAAGAGAATCACAGCCCAAATCTGCTTAAATGGAACAGAAGTCACTACAGCCATAAACTGGTAAGGATATTTAAATAGCAATTTTGACAAACTGCTGCAAGCTGAGTATGGACTAGCTTGGGAGTAAGAAATTCAGTCTTGGGAGAGGTCCCTACACTTCTGTGCATTTTGCCTGCAGGAAGCCCACCAGGTTTTCACAATGAAGAACCAAGAAAAATCCTTTGTGGCTCTAGAAAAGATGGGATGAGTAAGAATTGTGAGGTATAGCCAGAGTGTTCTTCACAATTAAGGCCTACTCTCTAGGGAAAAAGATTTTACCAGAGTCTTCTCTGAACTGGGGGAAGGACATACATTCCCCCGACTCCAGCCCCTTGTAGCCCTCCTGTCTCACCTATGGGGGTAAAAAGGCTAACAAACACTTGTGAAAGGCACAGGCCCAGAGATATAGGCCCACTGAAATACCGAGATTTAATCAAAAGATTATAGAACCTTCTCCTTGATACCTTACCATCACACCAATAGGGCTCCAGTATAGTAACAATGGATTACAACTAAACAAACACCAAGCAGGATAAATGCAGACCCTAAGGAGGAGCTCTTAGGGAACCCTAAAGACAATGGGGGAGACAACAAGAACACTGGAGGAATTTGAAGCCCCTGATACCTACAGCTATAGCAAACAGGAAAACAACTCTAGTTAGATTAATTCCTAGATTAGCATAAAACCTTACATGAAAGGCCTGTTTACATCAGTTCCTATTATCCAGTACATCAAGCCCAGCTTGTACATGTATTATTTCATTTATTTCTAAAAATTATCATTCTTATTTCTACATGAAGAAACTGAGTCATAGAGATTAAATCACTCGCTCAGTGACGCACAGGAAGTAGTGGAGCTGAATTTATACAAAGACAGTTGACTCCAAAACCTACTCTTAATAAATAATGTCTCTCTACCAATAAAAGTGAGTCAATGGTCTATTCATATGGATTCATTCTGAATATGGTTTCTGTTAGATTCATATTAAAATTCACTAATTTAAATTCACTAGTGATGCTATCATATATTCTGTGGGCTAAAGTTCTACTTTACCTAAAATATTCATATACCAATGATTAAACTGCAAATACATATTCAGTTTAAAAAAAAAAAAGTTGTTAAAAAGAATGTTCAAAAGACTTGAATAAACATTTCTCCAAAGAAGATATTCAAATGACCAATAAGCACATGAAAAAAATGCTCAATATCATGAATTAGGAAAATGCAAATCAAAACTACAGTGACATACCACTTCATCCCCATTAGCATGGCTACTATTGAAAAAATCAGAAAATAGTAAGTGTTGGTAAGAACATGGGAAATTAGAACACTTGTGCACTGTTAGCAATGTAAAATGATACAGCCACTGTGGAAAACAGTATGGTGGTTCCTCAAAAAAACAAAAATAGAATTGCCGTAAGATCCAGCAGTTTCACTTCTGGGTATATACCAAAAATAACTGAAACCAGGATTTCAGAGTAAAGTATTTGCACACCCATGTTCATAGCAACATTATTCACAATAGCCAAAATGTTGAAACAACCCAAGTATCCATGAATGAATGAATAAATGGATATGCAAAATGTGATATATACATACAATAGGATATTATTCACCTTAAAAAGGAAGGAAGCTCTCTCCCCCTCAGCGCTGCCTACAGAGGTGGCAGCCATCAGACCCCTTGTGAAGCCCAAGATCATCAAAAAGAGAACCAAGAAGTTCATCTGGCACCAGTCTGACCAATGTGTCAAAATTAAGTGTAACTGGCGGAAACCCAGAGGTATTGACAACAGGGTTCATAGAAGGTTCAAGGGCCAGATCTTGATGCCCAACATTAGTTATGGGAGCAACAAAAAAACAAAGGACATGCTGCCCAGTGGCTTCCAGAAGTTCCTGGTCCACAACGTCAAGGAGCTGTAAGTGCTGCTGATGTGCAACAAATCTTACTGTGCTGAGAATGCTCACAACGTTTCCTCCAAGAACTGCAAAGCCATCATGGAAAGAGCCACCCAGCTAGCCATCAGAGTCACCAACCCCAATGCGAGGCTGCACAGCTAAGAAAATGAGTAGACAGCCCATGTGCATGTTTTGTGTTTAAATAAAACTATAAAAACTGCCAAAAAAAAAGGAGGAAATTCTGCAATATGTTACAACCTAGATATATTAGTTTGTTCTTATGCTGCTATGAAGAAATACCTGCAACTGGGTAATTTATAAAGAAAAGGTTTAATTGACTCACAGTTCCGCATGGCTGGGGAGGCCTCCTGACACAATCATGGCGGAAGGCACCTTTTCACAGGGCAGCAGGAGAGAGAATGAGTGCAAGCAGGGGAAATGCTAGATGCGTACAAAACCATCAGATCTCACGAGACTCACTTATTATTATGAGAGCAGCATGGGGGAACCACCCCAATGATTCAAGTACCTCCACCTGGTCCCACCCTTGACACATGGGGATTATAAGGATTACAATTCAAGGTGAGATTTGGGTGGGCACACAGAGCCAAAACATATCACTGGATGAACCTTGAGGTTCATTATGCTAAGTGAAATAAACCAGTCACCAAAAGACAAATACTGTATGATTCCACTTATATGAGATAGAATAGTCAAAATCACAGCAACAAAGTAGAATAGTGGTTGCTGGAAGCTGGGGAAGGATTATTATTTAATGAGTATCATTTTGGTTTTACAAGATAAAAAAAGCTATAGATGGTGGTAATAGCTGAACAACATTATGACTATATTTAATAACACTGAATTGTACACTTAAAAATGGGTAAGATGGTAAATTTTGTTATATGTATTTTACTTCAATTAAAAAATTGAAAAAAAGGGTGATATGTGCCCACGAGATATATGCAATAAAATTATACTATTATTATACTTCTTAAAAATTCAAATTGAAATAGGTTAAATATTTATAATGTATAACACTGTAAAACAATGTATAAGAGCAAAAGGCACTACAACTGTCCCTTGGTATATGCCGGGGACTGGTTCCAGGACCCCCACCTATACCAGAATCCACACATATTCATGTCTCACAGTCATCCCTGCAGAACCCATGTATATAAAGAGCTGACCCTCCGTATATGGGTTTTGCATCCTGTGAATCCACATTTGGTTTAAAAGAATCCACGTATAAGTGGACCCATGCAGTTCAAACCCGTGTTGTTCAAGGGTCAGTTGTATTTCAGTATTTTCTGTTTATTTAGCAATGATTTACATTTAGCAATAAATGATTATGTAAAGCTACTACCTTTATCCAATTTTCTAACTCTTGATAACTTTTCTTGTGATTTCCTTTTTAGTTCTTGGACTGGAATACAAGCTAATGCTTTCTCCTGAAGAGCAGGATTTTCATAGACCAGCACATGCTGAATGTTGGACTGAAGAACTCCTAGAATGGCTGAATCAGGAGTAACCTAATAGGAAAAAAAATACTGAAATTAACTTTTCACTATATGTTACAAAAATAATATATAATAAAAGAGCACTGTGGTTTTATGATTTTACAGGTAGAAGGGAATGTATGGATTCACTTAAACATAATAATTATACCCACGACCTTCATAACATTAGTATTAGGAGACAGCCACATTTGTGTCAGAGCCTAAGATCTATCTATTTTTTTCCCTTTGTATATACTATTAAGGATATATTTAAACAAGGATATGCAGAATTCTTGAATACAAGCATGGATCAATACAGCGCTCTGATCTAAGGAGCTAATGGCCCCTTCCACTTTAAATCCCTGTAATGTACAGCAGTAGCAAAAGAGGTGTGCTTTTAAAGAATCAGGAATTTTGAGAAATTCCTGAAAGAGAAAAGGCAAATATGAAAGGACTTAAGGAAGAAATCTCCAGAGAGGGTGGTGATGAAAAGTAAAAAAAGTTTCCAAAACAATCCCAAGGGCAGAGAAGCCAGAGGATCTACAGAATAGGAAGTGTCCTCAGAGCAAGCATTAGGGAGAGTGGTTGAACTCTGGAGGAACAGCTAATTATTTTGGCTTCTCCCTCCTTATCACCTCATCAACAAAAAGGTCTGCCTCTGAGCAGTGAGCGTGCATGCTTAGAGTCACAAAAGGAAAGGGGAGTAACCAAGCTCAGAACTGCTGTCACTGGCACATCCCATTGTGCGGTATGTACTGCCCTTCTCCACAGCTGTCAGAAGCAAATGCAGTATTCACAGACAAGATGGCAGGACCTCTCAAACACATATGGATCCACAACAACTGTGGGGGAGATGCATGAGAATCAGTATCAGAAGAACTAATCCTGTAGCAATGACAGAAATACAGAAGAAACTTTAAAAAGTTTCAGTAGTATACTATATTCAGAGAAAGACTCAACTATGGATCTTGGATAGAAAAATTTTATTTATTTATTTATTTATTTATTATTATTTTTTGAGACGGAGTCTCACTCTGTTGCCCAGGCTGGAGTGCAGTGGTGCCATCCTGGCTCACTGCAACCTCTGCCTCCTGGGTTCAAGTGATTCTCCTGCCTCAGTCTCCCGAGTAGCTGGGAGTACAGGTGCCCGCCACCATGCCTGGCTAATTTTTGTATTTTTAGTAGAGACCAGGTTTCACCATACTGGCCAGGCTGGTCTCGAACTCCTGACCTTGTGATCCGCCTGCCTTGGCCTGCCAAAGTGCTGGGATTACAGGCGTGAGCCACTGCGCCCAGCTGGATATAAAAAATTTAAACATTAAAATAAAAAAGAAGCCAGGCACTTTGGGAGGCCAAGGTGGAAGGATTACTTGAGTTGGGAGTTCTAGGCCAACCTGGGTAAAAAAAAAAAAAAAAAATTAGGTAGCCAGGTATAGTGTTGTGTGCCTGTAGTCCCAGCTACTCAGGAAGCTAAGGTGGGAAGATCGCTTGAGCCCAGGAGGTCAAGGCTGCAGTGAGTTGTGATTGCCCTACTGCACTCCAGCCTGGGCAATGTAGTCTCAAAAATAAATTAATAAGTCATATAAAATAAATTAACAATATAAAATAAAGAAGAAAGCATAGATGTTGTCAAACGGTAGAATAAACACAGCTAAAGAGTGATCAGTTAATTTGTAACCAAAGGCATTTTCTGAGAATGAGGCATAAAAAGAACAAATAGACATTGAGGATAAATCCAAAACTTCTCACATCCAGTTAATGGAAATTCCAGAAAAACAGTAAAAACAATGGAAGAAGGTAACTGCTCAAAAAAATAACAGAAATAAATTTCTTATAGCTGAAGAGCTAGTATGTATGGAAAACAAAACAAAAACAAATGCTAAGTATATAATGGTGACATTTTATGATAGCAAGGCTAAAAACAAAATCCTAAAAGTCTTCAAGTAAGAAGAAACATTACATGTAAAGAAAAAATTATTTGATGTCAGATATTTCATTAGAAACAATGAAGCAAATTTTTTGAAAATGAGGGAAAACGATTAGGAATGCAGAATTCATTCTCAGTCAAACTAATCATGTACAGGGGCAAAAAAAAAATACATTTTCTGATATGTGACAATACAGAAATTATATCACTCTCAAATCCTATCTAAAAGAATTATGAGGAAAGTTATTATAGCCAAAAAAATAAATATAGCCTACATTAATTTTTAAAAATAAATACATACTGGGGAGTAGGATCTAAAATAAAAGTAATGGTACAAGTTTTGATTGGTATAGATAATCACAGTTGGAAAGCAAAATCTCAATTTTTTCATAAGAAAGGTAGCAAGGAAGGGAGCAGAACAGAGGTTCTTGTCTTATGGTAAGATGTTGGTAGAAAAATATAAAATTAAAAATTTGCATTACAGATTTCAGGTCAATAATTAAAAGACTAAAAAGATTATATTTAACTTTCTAACTCTTACAGGAATAAACCTATTATAGAAAAAACCTTGATCTAAACAACACAGGGAGAAAAGAAAAAAAAAGCAAGAATATAGACAACACAAAATAAGATATCAGAAGTAAGTTTAAACATATTAGCAATTAGAATAAATGTGAATGGGTTAAATGTGCATAGTGCAAAGTAGAGACAGGTCGATAACAACAACAAAAAAACATTACCAAATACTTACATGTCAGGCACTGTATTAAGCACTGGAATGGGTGCACAAGACAGACATAATCAATTTAAGGTCTATGGGGAAAAGGTATTAAACAAATAATGACAGACCCACCATAGTAACTGAAAAATATTTGTCTGTGTGTGAATGTGTTAGATATTGGAAAAATAATGGAGACCAAAATAGATATAGTATGGGCATTACCCTCACACAGCAAGTAGTCTGTGGATACAAAAACAAGCAAATACTGATAAATAATGTTCATTTACTCAAATATTTATTTATTCTTTATTTGCTAGGTGCTGGGGATATAATGGTTAAAAATTAATCATGCGGATAAATATTATTAAGCAAATATGTAGCATAAAATGAGACTTTACAACAAGGTCCTTGAACCTGAACTTCCTTGAAGAAATATTTGTGGCAGAATAGGAGGATGAGAAGAAGCTAGCGAAGAGGGAAGGAAAAGACCATTCCTGTCAGAAAATAGCACAAAGGTAGCTGGGGATCGCTTAGCGTATTTTGAAGGATCACAGAGATCAGTGTTTAGTACCAAGAGAAACAAGGGGAAAGCAGTGGAGAGATAAAGATCATTCTGGTCGCTTTTCATTGCAATGGTAAGCCATTACAGAGATGAAAGTAAGAAGAGTAAAACAATCTGATCTGTTTTCAGAATATCACTTGAGCCGCTATGTAGAGAAAGCAGGTATCAGAAGACCCCATGGGGAACTACTGCAGAACTCCAAAAGAGCTGGTGGCTTAAATTAGGGTAGTTTTACAACTGGTAGAGAAAAAAAAAAGTGAATGGACATGAAAAGAACTTAGGAAGTAAAATCAATAAGTTTTGGTGACTGTACTATGAAGTCATCAAGAGTATTTGGAAAAGGAAAAAAACACATTAGAGATGATTCATGGCTTTTTTGTTTGTTTGTCTGTTTTTGGATATGAGCAACTGGGTCAGCACTTGAACCACTTGCAGCAGGAGAAAAACCATGAAATGACCAACTCAGTTAAAGAGTATCAATAGGCTCTCTCTCTGGATGACAAGTGTCTGGATAACATGGAGTGAGGCAAGATGGCACCTCCCAAGAACGCTCCAAGGGATGCCTTGGTGATGGCACAGATCCTGAAGGATATGGGAATCACAGACTACAAACCAAAGGTTATAAATCAAATTTTGGAATTTGCTTTCCGAAATGTGACAATTCTGCATGACGCAAAAATTTATTCAAGCCACGCTAAGAAACCTAATGTTGATGCAGATGATAGATACTGCTTAACAGCTCCAAACTATAGGTTGAAGTCTTTAATTAAAAAGGGACCCAACCAAGGGAGACTAGTTTCACGATTAACTGTTGGTGCTGTTAGCAAACCTACCACTCCTATCACAGCGACCCCACAAACAGTGCCTGTCCCAAATAAAGTTTCAACTCCAATGTCAGTGACAAGCCAAAGATTTAACAGTGCAGATTCCACCTTCTCAGTCCACACCTGTCAAAGCAGTTCCCGCAACAACTGCAGTTCAAAATGTTCCAACTAATCCCACAATGATTGGGCCCCAAAATATTCTTATTACCACCAACATGGTTTCGTCATAGAACACAGTCAATGAAGCAAACCCACTGAAGAGAAAAACATGAAGATGATGAATACAATGATACTACGTAAGGAATTATAGTCTAGTCTAGATGCATTTCAAAAGGAAAGCTGGTTTTGAGCCCAATATACTGAACTAGAATATTCTAGATCTTCTCATTTTACCTTAAAAGACTGAAATGTAGCTGCAGCATTTTTCCTATTAGCTAAAACTGTTAGATCGCTTTAGTAAACATACAAATGTGTTTTTCATTGGACTTCAATTACCAACAGTTAAGTACTTGTTTCTTAAATTTCATTAATGTTGAGTCCTAGTATGGTAATTCTGGTTTTGAGACACTTTTCTGCCTTCTATCACTGACAGCAGCACGTAAGTCTCAGGTTCTACAGCCTGGTCAGCACATTTATCTTTTACAGCATAATTTCTAATCTACATTTAAATACTACTTTATTTTATAAGGTAAAATAGTCACTTTTATTGTCACTAGCTTTTTCATTTTTACCAAATCTCTCAATTTAGGAAACATTTTTGGAAAGGGCAGATTTAGAGGAGAGATTCTAAATCCATTTTGAATGTATTTGTTTCTTGGCCTTCCTTAATTTCCCAACTGAACTCCCTTGCTAAATCCCATTCATTTTCTGCACCTACCCCATAGGCTTGTTTCTCTCTCTCCATTGTTCTTAAATGTAAAAGGCCATACCTGGAATTTAAAAAATATAATTCCTGGTAATACAGCTCACTGTCATTTTCATATTTTTAAAACATTCTCT